TCCCGGGAACTGGGTCACCCGCCGGCACGCGCCCCGGTGACCTTGAGCAGCCGCACCGCGCGGTGCCCCTGTCCCGGCTCAGGAGGGGCCGACAGGGACAGGCCTCGCCCCGGCAGGAGGGGACAGCCCCGGGCAGAGCCCGGGCAGTGACAGTGGCACCGCCGCAGCCCCGGGCGCGGGGGCAGGGGCACCCACCTGCGCAGGACCTGCCGTGAGTCAGCCAGCGCAGAAATCTCATTAGGGGCAAAACGCGCGTCCTGCACACAGCCAGCAGCGAGGGGAGGCACAGGCAGAGGTACAGGCAGAGACTCCAGCAGGCAGGGGCTGGGCAGAAAATCACCCAGAGCTGGTGTGTTTTATCTCCAGTCCCCAGTCCCACCACCGTCACAGCCGGAGGGTCACCGGGACCTGCCGGACCCCGCGCAGTCGGTGTGCCGGCAGCCAGGCTGGTGCCGCGCTCCCCAGGGGGTGGGTTTGGGGGTCCGACCCGTGCCTGCCGTGGGGAGGGGGGACACGGTGGGGGACGCCTGCCTCGCACGTGTCGGCAGCGATCGCAAGCCCTGGGAGTGGATGCCACCTTCAGAGTCAGGAGGTCCCTCCCGAAATAAGGGTGTCCGCGCCCCAGCATCCCGGGGAGGCAGGGCTGGAGTGGGAAGCCCGGGGGGCTCAGGGTTCCCCCAGCACGCTGCTCCCCGGGGACCCCCAGCCCCTCTCCCCCACACTGCCGGGGCCAAGGCAGCCCAGAGCAGGCAACCTGCCTGTCCCTTGGCATCACCACTGACGGACCGCTCGCCTGGCCCTCGTCCCGCTGGGAAGCCGGAGCAGGCTTCACCGCCGGCAGGAGGAAAGCCCCCGGGATGGGGCCGTCCCAGGGCCCCGCTCACCGGCGGCAGGGACGGAGCCGCGGAGGCCGGAAGGCCGGAGCCGTGACCGGGCACACAAAGGCAGATGAAATCACGCCCAGCAGCAGCACAAAGAGCCTCTTCGGTCTTTGTCTCGGCACAGCGGAGAGCCGGGCGCTGCCGCCACAGGGCACCTCACGCCAGCGGCCTTTCGGGGTCCCCTCCCGGCACTGACAAAGCACCCGGCTCCCCAAGCCTGGCACTGCTTTTGGGGAGGCAGCCAGGGTCCGAGAGAGGCTGGGAGCACCCCAGGAGCACCCAGCACCCATTGCTTCTCCCAGCAGCCTTACCCAGGGCCGGGGGTTGTGCCGATCACTGGAGGGGGGACCGCGGTTGAGTGGTGCCGGCAGTGCCCCACCAGAGCCCGCACCCCGCCGCAGGCCCCCTCAGCGGGTGCTCGCTCACACCTTGCAGCAGAAAACCAGCAGCAACCTCCCCCCAGTCCCCCGTAGCCTCTGACCTGCTCGGCTGCTCCCCGGGCACGGAGCGGGCAGCTCCAGGCAGCCCTTGCATCCCTGGCCGCGGGCAGAGGGACCCCCCAGCAGGGCTGCGCACAGAGGGACCCCCCGGGCAGGGGCACGGGCAGAGGGACCCCCCGGGCAGGGCTGCGCGCAGAGGGACCCCCCGGGCAGGGCTGCGGGCAGAGGGACCCCCCGGGCAGGGGCACGGGCAGAGGGGCTTCACCAGGAAGGAGCATCAAACTTGGAGACTGGCCCCAGGTCAGGGCAGGCAGCCCGGGAGGGGAGAGGTGCAGGCAGGCAGGCAGGCAGGCAGGAGGGGGACGCCGGGACTCACCCTTGCTAGCCGTAGCCATGTGTCCCTGCAGCGGTCGGCCTTGCGCGAAACTTCAAAGGCACGG